GCATATTCAGAGCCCTGATAATTACAAGTTACTCTATTTCTCAGCTTTGTGCCTAAAGGTAGGATTCGAGGCTATAAAAAGTTCACGGCTGAGCAAAAATAACACATAGAGTTTCATTCATTGGAGAAAGAGGACTTGCTTCCAACTCTCAGCCTAGCAGAAGTCCTGTGCTATCATCCAGAAGGACTGAGTGCTACTGGGGTGCTGTTCTCCTTACTTCCTCAGAAGAATGTCACAGTGAGGGAAAACAAATTTGGCCTCATCCATTTCCCAAAGAAGGAGCAAGCTACAAGGAACCACCTTCCTGCCCCTGGCCAGAAAGAAAATGTACCTTTCTTTGTTGCAAAGAAGAGTTTGCTTTTCTCCTCTTCCCTCCCAATCATCTTTTCCTTTTGTGTCGTACCATTTGGCGTCCTAACACACCTTACTATTGATCTTGCAAGCCATTCCAGAAACCTTTTTGTGTGTGGAGGGGGGAGGTAAAGGACGGGTCAGACTACTTCAAATAAATAAATACTCTGAGATCAAGAGGAGATGAAGCACCCATCTTAAAGGTGGGTAGTGGTGGTTAGGTCTGGCCCAGTAAGAACCTTCAAGCAAGGGTTAAGAAGGGGTGGTGTGCTGGTCCGGGGGGGGGGGCTACCGTGCGGCGTGGTCTGAGTCCGGTCCTGGATCGAGGGTCTGGAGGCTGTCCATCAAGGGCGAAGCAGGGTCCAAGGAAAGGAGCCGGGCGTGGTCAGGAACTCCGGAAGAGCAGGTCAGGGTGTTGGCAGGAACAGGTTTCCAGCGATGTTGCTCCCGCAACCTGGGACTGGGCTGACTGGCTTTTATCTCCTCTGAGGCCTAGGGTGGTCCTGGCCCACAGGTGACTCGCCTCTCCTGGCCTTAAGGTGAGCACTCCTCCTGAGAGAACCTAGTTCCCTCTGCCTCTCTGCCCTGAGCCTCTGCAGCTCAGGAGAGGCTGTAGGGTTACTGGACCCAGAGGCAACCTCACCTTCCCCTGACAGGGATGGGAGAGGAGCACTTGCAGGCAATGGGTCCTCAATCACCTCCGGAGCCAGAGTGGATTCATCTGGTGTCTGTTCCTGAGGCTCCGGCACAGGTGCAGATCCTTCAGATTCAAGCCCCTGCCCCGGCTCAGCCGGCCCTGGAGGTGGGGACTCCTGTGTAGGCTGGGATTCCTCCGGTTCAGCCTCTGAATCAGATTCCCAGGCCATCACAGGTGGACTAGAAGCAGAAGCATGCTTTGCTGGAGAATGCTTGCTTATTAGGAGCTGTCCATTGTGCTGCAATGGCGGTACTGCTGTGCTACAGTCAGAGGCAGAATGCCTTGCAATACCAGCTAGGGAGAGTGCTGCTGTGTCCAGGTTTTGCCTGTGGTTCTTCTCAGGGGGCTGGACCATTCTGAGAACAGGATTCTGGACTAGATGGGCCTTTGGCCTGATCCAGCATGGTTCTCTTTATGTTCTCACATACAGTGATTTTTAAGATACTGGGTGGGTGGGTGGGGAGTGTCTTTGCCTTAAGAAAAGGGTGTTGTTGTCTTTTAAAAGATCCATCCTTCCGAAATGCTTACTTCTGAGGGTTCAATCAAGGATATGCAAAACACCATCATTAAAAAAAACAACGGCTAGAGATGATTATGGGTGGTTCCCCCCTCTCAACCGCTAATTGAAAACAGCTGTTTAGAGTTGGATTCCTAAGCATTGTGATGTTGCGCTAAAGGCTAAAAGCCCCCAGGCAAAATCGAGGTGTAAACAAAACCCCAACCCAGCACTTTCTCATTACAGAGTCTCAATGAAATGTCAGACCACATCTGATTACTCTTTGGGAACATGGTTAATTCCAGCCAGCTCATTGGTTTTGCACGCTGAGTGGCCATTGTCACGATTAAAGAGGCCTATGTACGAATGGCACAAAATGCTTTGCTTTACAAAAAGGAAGACTGTTAAGCCTTTTGTCTATTATTTTTGAGAATTCTTGGAGAACAGGTGAGGAGGTCCCTGCAGACTAGAGGTGGGCAAATGTTGTCCCCAGTGTCATGGATTGGCTGGATGCAGTGTAGCAGTGGGAAGCACCAGCTGAGGAACTCGCTAGGGAGCCCCAGGAGAAGAAGGCTCAGAGCCAGGGAGTTGGTGGTGGGATGATGACAAGTGATCAGAGGGAGAGGAGAGAGCAGATTGGGAGGAGGAGGCATCAGAAGTGGAAGAGGCAACAGGGTTTGGTGAGCAGGGAGAGGCTGCGACAGAGAACAGTCTAGACGCTGAGGCAGCAGCAGGGGCTAGAGAGACATGGGGCCAGGAAACAGTCAGTTCCCAAAAGCCTGTTGGAACCAGAAAGTCTTCACCCACTGGCAGAAGGACATCAAGGAGGGAGCCAGTCTAGCATCTTGAGGAAGGGAGTTCCAAAGTCTAGGAGCAGCCACTGAGAAGGCCCTCTCCTGCATCCCTGAAGGAATGACCACCGGGTGTGGAGCACACTTCTACCCTCAGACAAAGCCACAACTGTCTGAAGATCATGCCCTCTATCTAACCTTTGCTCTCTTAGTGGTCTGCCGTGCCCTGTCTGTGACCTTTGTCTCCTTCGTCATACATCGTTCAAGGGGAAAATGACGCGGTAGAAACAGGTGCCAAAATAACTTTGTACCACCCCTCGATCTCGGGATTGGAAGACATGTAAAGGTCACAGTCCAAAATGCATCTGACTGGTTTTGTATATTGTGCTAATAAAAAGAGCCTTGACAGAGCTAGCTGGCAGCTTGCTTGTGCACAGCTCACCTGCATTACCAACTCCTGCATCATGTCCTTCACTTCAATCCCTACTAAGCATGCCTGTGAGGGTGGCAAGACTGAGAGAAGAGGCTCCTCTGAAGAGCCCGGGTGGGTTTATATGAGGGAATATGGCATTTCAGATACGCTAAGGTTGCTAGAGTTGCTAGGATACCCATATTCCTCTCTCAGAGCTAGAGTGATTTAACAATCAATCTCTCTTCCCAGGGAACTCTGGGAAGTGTAGCTCTGAGAGGGGAATAGAGATCTCCTAAGAATTCTCAGCACCCTTAACTAGCTACAGTTCCCACGATTCTTTTGGGGGGTAAGAAGCCATGACTCTTAAAATGGCTTAAAATAACAGAGTTTATGAAAGCATGTGGTTGCAGCCAGAATGGGGAATGAGCAGCACTTCGCCATTCCCCAAATCTTAAATTACATGCACCTTTAACATATCTAGGGATGCGGGCGGCGCTGTGGGTTAAACCACAGAGCCTAGGACGTGCCAATCAGAAGGTCGGCAGTTCGAATCCCCGCGACGGGGTGAGCTCCCGTTGCTCGGTCCCTGCTCCTGCCTACCTGGTACTTTGAAAGCACTTCAAAGTGCAAGTAGATAAATAGGTACTGCTCCGGAGGGAAGGTAAATGGCGTTCCCATGCACTGCTCTGGTTCGCCAGAAGCGGCTTAGTCATGCTGGCCACATGACCCGGAAGCTGGACACTGGCTCCTTCAGCCAATAAAGCAAGATGAGTGCCGCAACCCCAGAGTCGGTCATGACTGGACCTAATGGTCAGGGGTCCCTTTACCTTTACCTTAACACATCTAAGTCTGTGATTTCTAAATGTGAGGTGCTCTCCAGAGGGCATTCAGATGGAAGCTCAAATGTTGTGCTTCAGAGTGCTAAGCACTTCTAATAACATAGTTCTTGGTAATATGCCACTAAAGGGGGACCCGTCCTCTAGAGAAAGCCGTACATTTCAAAGGAATATGTGCAAAGCCATCCTTAATATGTTGCCATGTGTTACCTGCTGGGAATAGGATGTCTGAATTAGCCAGGCATAATTCTGTTCCCCACAAAGAGCACACAGAAGGGAGAGCATTGCCAAATCCACAAATATCCTGCTCCAAAAAAGGAGAGAGAAAGTTAGCAGTCGACGTAACTGGCGGTGGAGAATCTCTTAAATTAATTGTCGAGCAAGCTGTGCCTTAAGATTAATATAGCTCCTCAGGGTTTGAAAGCAAATTTATTCCCAGTTGTTGCCAAATTTGATGTCCCCAGAACTTAAATTTAATTGCATTTGTCTGGACAGCAGCAGGACAAACTTCCTCCCGCAGAAAAGAGATTTCCATATTGCATGTTGGAGCATGCAGTTCTGGACTGGAGTGTGTCCCTGGAAAGTTACACAAAAAGTAAAGGTAGCCATTTCGGCGCATAAGCAACCTCTCCCTGCCCACCCCCATTCGAACTCAGTCCAGATTCCAAAAACTGAATTCTCCAGATCGCTTTGCCAGACTAGATCAGGGGTTGAAGGAACATTTTCCAGTGTGGGGCCTGCATTCCTTCCTAGGGAACCTCTCAGAAGCCACATGCTACAAGCAGCAGTGGGCATGGTCAGAATAATGGATGTGGCTTTTACTTCTGCACATCATCCCATGTTCCAGCAGGTAATGTGGCTGTGCAAAAGAAAATGGTTTGTACATGCGCAACCACCTCTCCATCGCCCATCAGACAAGAAAGAGGAATTATTGCAATTTAAGGACACATTCCAGCCAGCCAGGCAAAAGCACTTGAGGAAAGTGCAGAGCAGAGACTGTGAGGGCTGCAGTGAGTTCTCCAGTCTTGATGTTCCCCACCCCTGGGCTAAATGGAATACGGAGCAAATTGGGAGATGGGGTTTTTAAAAACCCCGTTGGCCGACAGCTCTTGCATTTTCAAGAGTCGGGGAATTAGTCGTTTCTATCATTCCTATTGGATGTGGGTGGCATTGTGGTCTAAACTACTGAGCCTCTTGGACTTGCCGATTGGAAGGTTGGTGGTTTGAATCCCCACAACGGGGTGAGCTCCCATGGCTCTGTCCCAGCATTTTGCCAACCTAGCAGTTCGAAAGCACACCAAAAAGTGCAAGTAGATAAATAGGTACCGCTCTGGTGGAAAGGTAAACGGCGTTTCCATGTGCTGCTCTGGTTTCGCCAGAAGTGGCCTAGTCATGCTGGCCACATGATCCGGAAAAACTGTCTGCGGACAAACGTCGGCTCCCTCGGCCAGTAAAGCAAGATGAGCAGTTGCAGTGTTCATCTTGCTTTCAGGCAGAGGGAGCCGGCGTTCGTCCGCAGACAACTTTCTGGGCCATGTGGCCAGCAGGACTAAAGTGCTTCTGGCGCAACAGAACACCATGACAAAAGCCAGAGCACACGTAAACACCATTTACCTTCCCGCCACAGTGATACCTAATTATCTACTTGCACTGATGTTGTTTCAAACTGCTAGGTTGGCAGGAGCTGGGACAGAGCAACGGGAGCTCACCTCATCACGGGGATTAGCCCAAGAGGCTCAGTTGTTATACCACAGCGCCACCCACGTCCCAAAGTATGTATGTAGATGTATGTAGAAGAAAGGAAAGGATGTTCAGAAATGCCTCCCGGCCACTTCAAAATAAGACAAGACCAAAAAACCCCTGCACTGCTGCCGTAAGAATTTTGTCAAAATTCTCTCTCCCCTTTGAATGCAATTCCGCCCTCCCCACCTCATTAATTGATGGAGAAGATTAGTAGGAAATGCAGGAATTTGTGGGAGGGACATAGACCTCAGAATGAGGTGGGTCCATGGGTCACGAAGTTGCTCTAGCACAGGATCAGCTCTGAGGAAGAGGAGGAAGAAGTCCACCCATGCCATCATTTGGAGCCTTCTTTGTATCACAGTGTCCTTTATACGCACGTTACAATGCATAAGCTTGTTAAGAAACATCCAAGTAATTAATTAAAAAGCCTCTAATATATCAAGCACTATCTATTTTAAAAGCTGGCGGGCAGCCAGCTCGCGAGGAAATAAAAGAGCAACTTCTAAATCAAATAATATCAGTCATTTAACGGGGGTTGGTGGGGGGGAAATAGAAGAAATTAAAAACCATGAATGAAACGGATGGCATTTTTATAGATGCTGATTATTCCATATCAATATCATATTTTTCTAAAGCTGCGCTCACACAAATAAAGACCTATCATTTCAGGTGCTCTTGTAAGGATTATTCAGAAGGCTCTGGCTTATTTCTGCTCACAGCTACGCGTCAAGCCATCAGCTAAATTTAAACTCCTTTACAGAGCAAGCCTACAGTTGAGTTATTCCAGCTGAGAAGCTCTAGTAGAGTTGGGGGTGTAATTATGCCTGCCAGCCCCACACCACACTCACCTGCCCTACAAGAGCAGGTAAAGACACACCTAGGCCGAAGGGGGTTTGCAGCTACTACTGATCAGTAGCCTTTGCAAAACACTCTGCACTGCCTTTTGTCAACATCAACGCTCAGGTGAACTTGGTGGCTTAGGTGTACAGCGCTATGCAAAAACGGGCCACAGATTCATAAAATTGTAGAGCTGGAAGGGACCTGAGGGTCATCCTAGACCAGGGGTCAGCAAACTTTTTCAGCAGGGGGCCGGTCCATTGTCCCTCAGACCTTGTTGGGGGCCAGAATATACAGTGGCTCCTCTGGTTGTGAACAGGATCCGTTCCGGTGGCCCATTCGCAACATGAGCAGAACACAACCCACATCTGCGCATGCATGGGTCACGATTTGCCACTTCTGCGCATGCGTGTGACGTCATTTTGCACATCTGCGCAAGTGGCGAAACCCAGAAGTAACCCTTTCCGGTACTTCTGGGTCGCCACGGGACGCAACCTGAAAACGCTCAACCTGAAGCAAACACAACACAAGGTATGACTGTATATCTAAAAAAAGAGAAGAACGAATTCCTATGCCCCACAAATGACCCAGAGATGCATTTTCAATAAAAGGACACATTCTACTCATGTAAAAACACGCTGATTCCTGGACCGTCCGCGGGCCAGATTTAGAAGGCGATGGGGCCAGATCCAGCCCCCGGGCCTTAGTTTGCCTACCCATGAACTAGAATTTCAACTAAAGTATCCATGACAGATGGCCATCCAACCTCTGCTTAAAAACCTCCAGTGAAGGAGACTCCACAACCTACTGAGGGAGACCATTCTACTATCAAACAGCTCTTACTGTCAGAAAATTCTCCCTGATGTTTAGTTGGAACTTCCTTTCTTGTAACTTGAAGCCATTGGTTTGGGTCCTACCTTTCAGAGCACGAGAAAATAAGCTTGTTTCATCCTCCATGCAACAGCCCTTGAGATATTTGAAGATGGCTATCACATCTCCTCTCGGTCTCCTCTTTTCCAGGCTAAATATACCCAGATCCTTCAACCGTTCCTCATAAGGGTGGGTTTCCAGACGCTTGATCATCTTGGCCACCCTTATCTGCATATGTTCCAGCTTGTCAACATCCTTCTTAAAATGTGGTACCCAGTGCTGGACACAGTATTCCAGGTGTGATCTGACCAAGGCAGAATAGAGTAGGACTATTACTTTCCTTGATCTGGACACTATACTTCTGTTGATCATCTGATGTCACTGTGGCATCATGCAGTTGACAGGCAGTCCCACACACTTGCCAAACCTGGGAGTGGAGGAGATAAAGATCCATCCCACCAGCTGATTCCAGTTCCCCCACCCTTGAATTTTAGGATTCAGCACCCCTGTCTATGCCAGGCTGTCCCCATGACAAGTTCATTGGTGGAACACCTTCTCTCTGTGAGAACCTTCCATAACCAAGGCTTGTATCCTGAACCAAGTCATATGAACCTCAGACAATATCAGTTGGGAAACATGTGGCTTTCCAGATGTTCTTGTACTACAATTCCCATCTGCCCTGAACATCTGGAAGGCCCCATTTCCCCCACTCTTTCCTTGAGATTGAGTTGAATGGATCTGTTATAAGGTTTAGAGCTTATGGTGCCTTATATAGGTCTCCAGAGCTATACGCTGAATACCAAAGTGAAACAGTGCGTTTTTGCCAAGATGTGTAGCGTTATCTGCGCAGAGTGACTTTGGAACAGATAACCGGGTGTGCTATCTGCTAGCCTAGTGTGAAAGGAGCAGACAAACTTGGAGAGTTACCTTGGCATTAATTATTGAGCATCTTCTTGTGACATTCGACAACTTGCGCCTGCATCAGTCATGTTCGTTCCACTGAATAATGCACAGCGAATGAGAAACCAGTGCGCTGAATATATAGAGTTATAGCACAGCCCAGTGGCAAACTTAATGAATAAATCTCCGAGGCTGACAAAACAAGGCTGTTGTTTTATTCAAGGGCAGTGGGATAACGTTTGCAAAACAGAATGGGGAACTATTGCTAGAGACCCCACCCACTGAAATTTCTGATATCCTAAGTTAAATGCAATGCACCAGCCACTAGCGCTCTTACCTGTTGCTCCAGGGTGGCCTTCACACACACACACACACACACCCCAGTGTGGGATTATCCAATAAGTGGGACTAAGTAAGTGCTTGGGAACCAGCAACGCAGAGGAACAAAAATCAGACTTTTAAAAATCATCATCATCATCATCTGATTTTTGATTTATTTATTTTTTAAGCACCAAAGTAGTCATCGTGGGGAAACCTGATCTTTGCTAGATTTTGTCACACTCCTCTCTCTTGATTTTATGTATGTATTTTGTATTCTCATTTTGTATTTTTCTGTTGTGAACCACTCTGGGATGAATGGCAGTATAATAATAATAATAATAATAATAATAATAATAATAATGATTTTTCCTGTTCTCTTTTATTACTGATCCCCACCTAAATCAGGGTCCAGCTGCTAATGCAGATCAAAAGAATGTGTTGCAATAAATCTATGTTTTATTTATTTTTGCTTTTAAATTTTATTTTCCAGTTTAGTATTGTTTTTATAGCCTGGATAGCTCAGTTGGTTAGAGCGTGATTTTGACAACACCAAGGTTGCAGGGACAGCTACATATTCCTGCATTGCAGGGGGTTGGGACTAGTGATAGGGTCCCTTCCAGGTCTATGATTCTATTAATTACATATGGGGGCACTGTTGTCTTTTCTTTTCTTTTTTAATTTTTTATTTTAAATTACAAACATCAAATTCAACATCCATATTCATTTTCTAACATAAACCTCTTACATATTTAACTAAATTAAAATATACCTAATTACTCTAAACTTCTCTTTGCTGTATACAAATACAAGACAGTTAGAAATTTTATATTAAAGCTTTTATATTATAAATAATATTTCAAATTCCCCTATACCCCCCATTCCCCTTCACCCATGTGTGAACTGTTGTCTTTTCATTGCTCAGGGCCTTAGGGTTTTATTTAGACATATATGTGTACAACCTTAGCACCCGGAACTTGAAACTCCCGTTGTTCTAGGTGCATTTTGCGACAGGGAATTTCATTAGTGCGAGCAGTTTCTGAGCTTTGGGCGCAGTACCGTGCCTAAGATTTCAGATTAAAACTGCAACTGCTAGAATGAAAGGACCTTTTCTGCCTCCCAGCCACTCTCTGAAGACTGGAGAAGGGACCCACATAAGAATATTAGGGCTGGAGAAGTATGGCTTTGTTTTTGTTTTTTCAATCTTCAGAAGTGGACTAGACCATGTGAAAAATCAATATGAGATTTTAGCTGCAGTTCATTCATTTCCAGTTTTGTATTCTTGTTATAAAATAGCACCCCTAGACATTCTGTTGAGGCACCCATGACCTATGTTTAAGATCCCATTTCGTTCTTAGCTTTCATATCTGTTTCTAACACTGTTAGTTAGCACCCCAAATTGTATTGCTTCTCTATTAGTTGCAACTTTGGATCCAGAACAGAGCAGGCATGTTTCTGTGTTTCCAGCTTCCTGCCTGCTTCCACTCACACATTTCCCCCTGGCTACTGTTCTCCTTCATGGCAGCTAGGAGAAAGGGGTGAAGGAAATGCCACCATCCCATTAACCAGGGGGACACTAATGCCCGTGTACTGGAAGAAGCAAAGATCACCAGTGTCAAAGCAATGATTCTTCAACATCAACTTCGTTGGACTGGTCGTGTTGTGCGGATGCCTGATTATCCTCTTCCAAAGCAACTACTCTATTCCAAACTTTAAAATGGAAAGCGTAATTCTGGTGGTCAACAAAAGAGGTGTAAAGACTCTCTCAAGGCAAATCTTTAAAAATGTAGTATAAACACTGACAACTGGGAAACACTGCGAGCGCTCCAATTGGAGAACAGCCTTTAC